CGATACTAAATGGGGATACATGTCGATTTATAGTAGTATCGCCCATTACCTAACAGCGTACTAATTATATTTACAATCATCTCTTTAGGTAATGCCATATTATATTCCCCGTTTATTTTTAATGCCAAGCCTTAATGCCAAGAGGCAATTTCTATCGGCGAACCCGACTCCGTGTAGCAATACAAAAAAAAATCACGTTGGATGCTGAATATAGGTAAATCTTCCAACGTGTCCGACAACGTTTTGTGAAGACGAGAACAAAGATCTTTTAGTTTTTGTTTTAATAAAATTGTATGTTTTCATTGTACAAAAACATTATAATCAAAAATTTTCATAATACTAAAGTGATAAATGAACACACAAACACCCATAAATTAAGATGTTCAGTAATAGTAAGTGGCTCATGAATACAGGCGGTTAACTTCAAACAAAAAAGGCTTCAGATACGTTGTCACCTATGACGACTAAGATGGAGTATCTCACAACCAATAATTCTAATGGCTAATTATAATCTATACCCTTTAGACTGGAAAACTCTAGTGCAAGTCATTCTATTGGGTGGTGGAGAGTGCGGAAATAGGGAATAGGGTAACACTTACACAGACGGACTATTACCTAGCACTTACGACAGTGCAACTGGCAGGTCTAATTACTTTGGGCATTCTTTACCTGTCGTCGTAACGAGTTAAGCAGAAAACCTGATAAGTTTAAATTTAAATTAATTACTTAAATAAGCATTAAGACATGCAAATATTTTAATTACATGTTTATATATACAAACAGAATACACAAAAACAATAATATATTTTATAAGTGGTAAAGCCATGCTGCAGCTATTATTAGTATAGTAGTATCACGAATGGGTCGACTTGACCGGGGAAGGACCACGCTCTCAAAGAAAACCAGCGTAAAATAGCAGCTTAATGCTGCCGTGTTTTGTATGGTGAGTGTAGAGACCCGGAGACCCTTTTTACTGGAAACGAGGCATTCTATCTTGGTCCTCATGGGTGACGACGCATTTGCATATTGATTTGTAATCGAAGATAGATGTAGATGTCTATGGGCCACAGCAGCCACTTACCATCAAGTGGGTTGTGTGTTCGTTTTTCACCTTTATCTTATAAAAAGAAAATACAGTGAGTACGTACAAAAGTTCTAATTATTCAATAATTTATTGAAATAGCTGCTTTATCCATATTCTTTATTATTTCCCTTTAGCCAGTAGATGACAATAATGATCATGATTGTTACATAACGCACGCTTAACGAGTGACTATCGAAAGGTCTGTAAACTGCACGAACTGTTATATAAAATTTCTGAACTCTATTTCACTGTATGCGGAGGAAAAATACTCGTAAGCATGTTTTAATAATGAAGAGTAGGAAGCAGCAACTTTGTATTTCTACGATATGTTTGTGGCTGGTCAATACGACGATGTCGTAGAGTTACACCGGTGGATAATACAAAGTAAAGCTGAGCTTATGTTAAGTTAGCATTTTATTGTAATACTTTGTCATGAATATAAAAAATCCCGAGAGTTCCCGTTTACAGCAGGCACTTGCTGTAAAGTACTCGAAACGTCGGGAATATAAAATAAGTTATAATAAGTTAATATTATGAAATCCGTAAATCAATAATAATAAAACTATTATTCAAATGTGTAGCGTTCATATCAATATAAGAAATTATTATACAATATTATACACAAATTATAATAATAAATAAAATAAATAAAAGTTGGAAATTATTACGTATTAATATTATCAATCTCGCGTATTATTTCATTTAATAATAATATTACAATGTGCTTAAAGTAAGCACCAAATAATGCTTGAGGTAGCCTATGAAACTCTCGTGATAAAGAGGCTGCAGAAGGTCACAAAGAAAACAAGCGAAAATAAATATATAAAGCGGGTACAAATAACAAAACATACGAAAACGTACACATCAATAATGTATGCTTTGAACATAGCTTGCGGCAGAGGCAAAATACTCTTACTGTCATTTCCATAGCAAACGACCGGCGACTGACGTAGACTGCAATTGAATACAAGCAAGTGTCTAGCTAGATCTGTTACTTATATGGTCTTTTAGTCGACGCTTTATGCTAAAATAATTTACGCTAAGCTTAGCGGTCAGCCACCGGGGATGCCTCTTGCAGAGGCGAAACGTGTAGTATTATCGACGGTGGTGTGTCTTTCATAGTGTAGTGCTGTTGGGAATAGTGGTGCTGGCAATAGTGGTGGCCGGGAATGTGCGCGCAATTGAGGGAGGTGCTCTACAAACTAGGTAAGACACATCATTTCGTTTTATTTTATTATATTACGTATATTTTAGGTAATTTATTTTGACATCTTTTATATAATGGATTTCCGCAAAGTATCACGAATCCGTTCCGCATAGTTATATTTATTAAAGTCAATCAATAATCATAAATATCAAGGTGGCAGGACTTATTTTCTGCCTACGAGTTCATCTTGATAGTTACCACTATGCTCCCGTCTGAAGAGTATAGAGTGCCATTATAATGACAGGCTATGAGGGATTCCATCTTAGTCCTCAGAGCGAAATATCTGGAGCTACGGTCGTCAATCTGCTGCCAAGCGTGACCATTAAGACAAATTCTAGACATAACGAAAACTTACTTGGTGATAGAACTCTTTTTCTGTCTAAAAATCCTTCTGGGTAGGTGCGACTCTCTCACCAATTTAATTATAGGATAGGGTCACAAACGAGCACACAGTCCACCTGATAGTAAGTCGTTGCTGTGACCCATAGACATCTACATCTATTCTCAATAAAGTATCAAAATGCAGATGCTTTGTTACCCATGAGGACTAAGATGGAATGCCTCTTTTCCAGTAAAAAGGGTCTCCGGTTCTCTACACTCACCATACGAAACACACCAGCATTAAGTAAAAAAGTAAACCGAAATCCATGATTATTTTTTTATTAAATAAACTGCATACCGTGAGTGGCGGTGTAAAAATATCTACTAACCCATATCATCCTGTGGGTGTCGTAAGATGCGACAGAGGGAAACAAATCAGGAGACGGGCAGCAGCGTCTTCCTAATAACGACTAAAAATAAAAACTGCGGTTAACAACTCGCTCGCCAAGCGTGGCAAAAATCCCTCATATGAGGCAATCTAAGAATGAACGACTATGTTCAGACTGGACTTTAATAGGCTGTAACTGTAGCGGTAAATAAACTTTATATCAATAATGGTTCCGATACAATTGAAGATAAATTGATTAATTTGTAATTGTAAATTATCTGATAGAAAAAAATCAAATCTAAAGATAAAAGAATAGTTAATGAAATGTTTATAAAGCTACTCAGATGACACTTTAGTCAGAAATTGTATCACTTAGCGGTCAACCACCGCAGTCAACTTCACCTAAAGGTTCCTCGTTTAGAGGCAGAAGACGTGTCGTATTGACGGTGGTATCTTTCCTAGTGAAGTGATGTTTGAAGTAGTGGTGACAGAGATAGTAAAATTATTTGAGAGAGCGCCATCTCGGAGGTGCTCTTCAAACTAGGTAAGACAAAAATATTTTATTTTATTACGCGGATCTTAACTAATGAATATTAAATATATTTGACATTATTGCCTAGTACTCTTAAAATCTTTAAAAATAGACAGTTTTTACTTTTCTTAAAATTTTATTTTTGAACTGAATTCATGGTACTTCTACTCTAGCTAACATTCTTAAGGTAGTAAATTTGGGTCAAGACTATATTTTTACGCAGTAAATCGACTTTCAAAGGTATTTTCCTTTTTAAAGGATTGTTACTTAAGAAAATGTAAAAGATCAATTAATTTTTTAAACTTTAGTAGTAAAGTGTCGGAAGCTCGCTTGACTAAGTCTCGGGCTCAAGCTTCAAGCAAGCAAGCAAGAATTTTAAATGGGAAGAGTTAATTGAGCTTCTTTTTTTGTGGACATAAATCTTGGTAGACTCTAAATTTAAACCACCCATATATTTAATACAAGCGACCCGCCCCTGCTTCGCTTGGCTTAAATCGAATAATGTGACGTAATTTATTGTACAATTTTCTAGATCTCACAAAAAAAAAACATTCTTAGAGATTTTCCCGTGTAGTGGTGGTTAAGAATATTCACTACCCCATATCTTCCCGTGGGTGTCGTAAAAGGCGATAAAGGGAAACAGGCAGGAGATGGGCAGCAGCATCTTCCTGATAACAACAAACATACAATAAAAAAACTGCGGTTGCCAACCCGCTCGCCAAACTCGGCAACTATGGCAATACCCCCCTATACCGATAGTAACAAAGAAACGACCCCCAGTCCCCGGCGGCCCCACTATTCCTGGCTACGGTGGCGACCATGGTAACGGCGGGGCAGGGGGTGCTAAAAATCTCCGGTGGAGGATCGGTTGCCACCTAAGACGACTCGACCTGGCAACATAGAACGCACGCACCCTGAGGACTGACGAGAAGATCGTGGAGCTGAAAGAAGAGATAGACAAGTTACGCTGGCATATTATAGGATTATCCGAAGTCCGAAGAGAGAGGGAGGACACAGTAATACTCGAATTCGCTGAAGGTCATACAGGTTTACGCACCAACCTCGGAACACCCCGATGAGGAGATGGAGGAAATGTATGAGGATATCTCTAGAGCCATGCATTCCTCCAAAACCCAATATACTGTGTTAATGGGAGACTTCAATGCAAAACTAGGCACAAGAGAGAACGATGAGCTGAAAGTAGGGAAATTTGGAATAGGGCAACGGAACCCAAAGGGCCAGCAGCTGGCCGACTTCATGGAGAAAGAGGGACTCTTTATGATGAACTCTTTCTTCCAGAAGCGGCCCCACAGGAAGTGGACCTGGTCGAGCCCCGATGGTTCTAAAAAAAATGAGATTGACTTCATTATGACGACCAGACGACAACTGCCCAGTGATGTCTCCGTAATCGTGAGTGTGAAAACTGGTAGCGATCAAGGAATGGTCAGGAGCACACTGAAACTAAACGTTAAGTTGGAGAGGTCTCGTCTAATGAAGTCAACGCTCCGCCCCCCTCGTGCTCTGTTCCAAAGTCCCGAAACCTTTCAGATCGAGTTACAAAACCATTTTCAGTGCCTAGAAGACTGCAATTAAGTGGACAATATGAATGAAGAGCTCGTGGAATCTGTCCATGCGGTCGGAGCTAAGTTCTGCAAGACCCGCCGCAGAAGAACACAAAAACTCTCCGATCACACTCTTAATCTCATGGCTGTTAGACGGGAGATTAAGCTACATTTTTCAACAGTTTTGACAGCATACAGGCAACTGAACAGACAGATCTCCAAATGCATGCGGCGGGACCTACGCAACTTAAATATAGCTTGTATTGATGAAGCGATCAAGTGGAACCAAGGCTCCAAAGTCTTTCCCAGAGATCTGTCTGCCAGAAAGAGCCAACAGTCAAAGCTGAAGACCAAGTATGGCAGCGGCGTTTCCGGGACACCTGACATTTTGAGTGACATTGAGAGGTTCTATGGGCAGCTGTACACGTCATCGTTGGAGCCGCATGCAAGTGTGAGTAACGATTCAAGAGCGAGTCTTATCCAACACTATTCCGAAGATATCCCGGACGTCAGTCTGAGCAAGATAAGAATGGCTCTCCAGCAACTTAAAAACGGCAAGGCCCCAGGCGAGGATGGAATCACAGCGGAGCTTCTGAATGCGGGTGGAAGACCGGTACTTGACGTCCTTCAGAAGCTCTTTAATGCCGTCCTCCATGTTGGCATTACACCGGAGGCGAGGAGCAGAAGTGCGGTGGTCTTGTCCTTCAAGAAAGGTGACAACGCTCTCTTGAAGAACTACAGACCGATTTCCCTTCTGAGACGAGTCTACGTGGTATTTTCGAGAGTCATTACGAATCGTCTCACGCGCAGACTTGACGACTTCCAGCCTCCCAAACAAGCCGGTTTCCGAAAAGGTTTTAGCACCATAGACCACATACATACCCTTCGGCAGATTTTACAGAAGTCCGAAGAGTACAATTTGCCACTATATCTGGCGTTTGTGGACTATGAGAAAGCCTGTGATTCTGTCGAAATTTGGGCAGTGCTGCAGTCCTTTCAGCGGTGCAAAGTTGACTGTCGGTATATCGAAGTGCTGAAGTGTTTGTACAGTAGAGCTACGATGGCTATCCGAGTAGACAACCAGAGTACGAAACCTATCCAATTGCAGAGAGGTGTAAGACAGGGTGATGTTATATCCCCGAAACTCTTCACCGATGCATTGGAAGACGTTTTCAAGCTTCTGGACTGGAAAGTATACGGTATTAACATCAATGGCGAGTACATCACTTTTATTTGGCGACGATATAGTCCTTATGGCAGAATCACTGGAGCACCTAAGCACCATGCTCAATGACCTCAATAGTGTCTCCCCACGAATAGGTCATAGGATGAACATGGACAAAACAAAGATCATGTTCAATGTCCATATCACACCTATGCCGGTAATTGTTGGGAGAACTAAACTCGAAGTTGTTGACGATTATGTTTACCTGGGACAAATAGACCAACTAGGTAAGTCCAACTTCGACCGAGAGGTCAATCGACGGATTCAATTCGGCTGGGCAGCGTTTGGGAAACTACGACACATCTACTCGTCGGCAATACCTCAAAACATTAAAACGAAATTGTACAACCAGTGCGTGTTGCCAGTAATGACTTACGGATATGAGACGTAGTCCTTCACTGCTGGCCGTATGAGGAAGCTCAAGGTCGCTCAGCGAGCTATGGAGAGGGCTATGCTCGGGGTTTGTCTGCGTGAAAAACTTAGAAATGAGTATATCCGCAGTAGAACCAGAGTAACCGACATAGCCCAACGGATTAGTAAGCTGAAGTGGCAGTGGGCAGGCCATATAGCTCGAAGAACCGACAACCGATGGGGAAGAAAGGTTCTTGAGTGGCAGCCTCGTACCGGTAGGCGAAGTGTATTGCGACCCCCCACGAGATGGAGTGACGACCTGGTAAGACATGCAGGAAGTAGATGGATGTTGGTGGTTCAGGACCGTGCTTTGTGGCATTCCTTGGGGGAGGCCTATGTTCAACAGTGGACTTATGAAAGGCTGTAATGACGATGATGATGATGAGAGATTTTTGGAAAAAATATAGTCTTAATGGCAGCGATTGCCTTTGCAGGCATATAAACCAGCATAGATTGCAGTACCATTCGTTCGTCTCTGCGATTGCTGATCGTAACGTCCCAGGTTTTAATCTCGGGTCAGGCCGAAAAATCCTTATTGAGTTTTTTCTGTTAATAAATCTCAATATGAGCCCGAAGTCAGGAAATTGGTGGTGTTTCAATCCTTTGCCTAGGAAATGCATTCCGATAACGCCGTTGGTCCTGCGCCTGACCTCTCTCCGGTCGTTTCGGTTTGCCGTCTTGGACTAAGAGAGTAAAAGAATAGAGAGTGCGCCTGTGCTTGCGCATATATCGAACACTAGGCTGTCTCCTCTGATCCTGGCCGCCGTAACATTAATCCGGTCTGGAGGAAATTACCAGATGTCTCACACCTTTGATGCTGTTCCTTGTCTTTGATCTGAGTATTTCATGACTGGCGAAACCAAAATGATCCATTTGTCGGAAACTATGATACCTTTCCAGCATTTTCCATAGTCGTCCTTTACACACGCAAGGAATCAAACAGGGTGATAGATTCTCTAAAATTGCGTAAGTGTATACAAAGTAAATAAACTTCCTCAAATGTTGTTTCACTCATTTAAAACAAAACCAGAATCAAATAATGAGTTCTATTTTAAGAGAAAATATTAAACAAATTATTAACTCTCCTATTTTTAATTTTTTGAACAATTTTCTTTCATCTCAAAGCCCGACACCTTCGAGAATATAAAATTATATTATGTCTGGCAGACTAGTATTCGAAAATATAATAAAAAGTAACACTATTTCTTCTTTTTTATACCTTTTTTTAAATACAGTTCGCAGCAAGTTTCAGGAGAATAAATTAAACGCTTTACGTTTAGTTATGATTGGCTTATAAGTGGATAACATATTCCATTAACTCATTTTAGAGGAATTCACGTTTAGATAGAAACTGAAATAGCTTTGCAACTTTCGACAAGTTATTCGGAGCATTAGGAATAGAATAGAATAGAATATTTTTTATTCAATATACATTACATGTGTAATTCTTATTGAAAGTCATTTTTTACTTTACCACTGGTTCAAAACAAAACCCCTCTGTCCTGGGAAGAACCAGCAAGAAACGCAGCGGGACTTTTTTTTAAAACAAAATTTATTTTAGAAACTGCTTGGAAGCGACCACCTCATTCCCAGGGGTTATTATCAACCATGAATTCATTTATACTATAATAACCCTTTTTATACAGTTTCAGCTTAATAAAACATTTAAACTTGGTAATAGAGAAAACCTGTACACTTTCCGGGACCTTGTTGCATATACATTGCCCCAAGAATGAATTACTGACTCTGTGGAGTCGAGAAACTGGCATCACTAGCTTGTGTTTGTTCCTAGTGTTTACAGAATGTATATCACTTTTTTTACTAAAACTATTTTTGTTTTTGTGAACATACATTAAATTTTCGTAAATATACTGAGAGGCCAAAGTTAATATATTAAATTCCTTAAATTTATCTCTAAGAGACTCTCGGTTTTAGATTGTAAATAGCTCTAATGGCCCTCTTCTGTAAAACAAAAATAGTTTCTGAATCAGCCGCATTTCCCCATAGCAAAATCCCATAAGACATTATGCTATGGAAATAACTAAAATAAACTAATCTAGCTGTCTCGACACTCGTGAGACCTCTAATATTTTTTACAGCATAGGCTGCAGAACTTAGTCTGCTTGCTAATTTGGATATATGGGGACCCCACTGGAGCTTTGCGTCAAGAGTGATGCCAAGAAAAACAGTGGATACAACAGGGCTCAATTCCTCCCCATTCATTTAAAAACACATTGGTATTCAGATTCGTTGTTGTAAATTTAACACAATTAGCTTTATTTCCGTTCAAATGCAGATTATTAACGTTAAACCAATGCACTAATTTTGATATAGCATTATTCACTTCGTCACATTTAAATGATTGACGTTTAAGTTTAAAAATCAAGGAAGTATCATCAGCAAATAATACTATATCATGACTATCCCCTACAAGGTGAGGTAAGTCATTAATATACACCAGAAACAGGAATGGGCCGAGAATCGAGCCCTGAGGAACACCCATTAGTACAGGTGACCCGGAAGAACTTTTACCATTGATAATAACCTTCTGTTTTCTATTACTTAAATATGAAATAATAAGTTTAAGCGCTGTGTTCTTGACACCATAGTACTCTAGCTTTCTGATTAATGTCTCATGGTGAACACAGTCGAAGGCCTTGGAAAGGTCACAAAATATACCCAAAGCATCCTCTGAATTCTCCCATGCACAAAAAATATGTTTAATAAGCTCAACTCCAGCGTCAGTTGTCGAGCGACCTCTTGTAAAACCGAATTGATTTTTATGTAGCAATTAATTAATATTAAAGAAACTTAACATCTGATCTAAAATAATTTTTTCAAAAATTTTACTTAATGTTGGTAGTACAGAAATTGGTCTAAAATTGGCGGGATCTAATGTACTACCAGATTTAAATATAGGTATGACTTTACTATGTTTCATTAAATCAGGAAACACACCAGATTCGACGCTTATATTAAATATAGTGGCTAGATAAGGTGCTAATATATCTATTATAGATAAAATAACTTTAACGGAAATCCCCCATAAGTCTGCAGTTTTCTTAACATCAATAGTTTTAAAATATTTAACGATATCTTTTGGCAGTACTCTACGGAATTTAAATGTATTTGAACAAGCCTTTAAATTTTGTTTGAGCAATGATTCGGCGACAGTAGGAGAAGAATTTAATGATTTTGTTGTCAAAAAATGCAAATCAGTAAAATGTTTCTCAAAAGCCATAGCAACTTCTTGATCAGATCGCGTTAAATTATTGTTAATATTCAATTGAAAATCCGAGTTACGCGGTTTGACCTTGCCCGTTTCACTATTTATTATTCTCCAGGTCATTTTAATTTTGTCGGATGCAGTTTTAATTTTGTTGCTTAAATGTAAAGCCTTAGCAGTGGAGCACACTTTTTTAAATATTTTAGAATATGTTTTTACATAATCTCTAACTATAACACTACTATTATATGATCTTTCATCATAAAGCTCGTATAACCTTCGCCTACTCTTATAAATTCCTACTGTCGCCCATTCATTAAATGATTTGCGACTGTTAAAAGAGAAAGTTTTAGAAGTAAATATTCTACTAAATTCACAACTTAAAATTTCAAATAATGTAGCATACAAATAATTAGCACTATTTTTAAACGAAAGTGATGGAATTCTTTTTATTATATTACTTCTAAACCTCTCCAAGCGATGTTCATTTATTGGAACAAACACAACTTTCTTATTTTTCTGTTTTTTGTGTATGTAAGGTAGTGATACTAACTGTCCACAGTGATCTGAACTTAAATTTTGAATAATTGATTTATGCAAGGGCTTAACATCTGTAAAAATGTTATCTATACAGGTCGCACTAGGCCCAGCAATACGTGTTGGTTCTAAGAATAAATTAACAAGATTATACGATTTAAACAATGAGCGAAACTTAATACTAATGGAAGAAGTTTCAAGGAGATTGATATTAAAGTCTCCACACATTCTGTTTACTAAGCTGGAGTAAAGCTTCTTCCACAATCCTTTCAAAATGGTCACAAGTAGCACATGGGGGTCTATAAACACTTACAACAATGAGGTGCTCAAGCTCGACACAAGCCATTTCTACAGTTCGTTCAACAGAGAGGCTCACAATATTCTTACGTTCTTTATATAATAATGATTTATCTACTAATATTAAGGAGCCACCACGTAAACTTTTTTCTCTATTGAAGGAACTGACCACCTGGTGATTTCTGAAATTAAACATGAAATTATAATCTTTTAGCCAATGTTCAGTAATACAAAGGATGTGTATATTGTTACTATTTAAAAACAATTCAACTTCCAATTCTTTGCCCAACATGCCTTGTATATTTTGATGCACCAGGTGTAAACAATTTTTATTACTTATTTGTGGGCTGTATTCAAAATTAATTAAACTCTTATTATTGCTACAGATTGCCTCTATTGTCACATTCACTAATTTAAATTAGTTGGAACTGATTCCAAATTAAATGTCAAATGATTATTTTTAATAAAACTAATTTTACGGATTTTATCGCGTATATTAACTTATTTTTATACATTCCCGACGTTTCGGGTTCTTTCCAGCACCCGTGGTCACGGGGGACTGAGTTGTTTGACCACGTGACCACGGGTGCTGGAAAGCACCCGAAACGTCGGGAATATATAAAAATAAGTTAATATACGCGATAAAATCCGTAAAATTAGTTTTATTAAAAATGTGTAGTGTTCGCGTAAATATAAGAAATCAAATGATTATGCTCAATAAAAGCAGTCTTGGTAGCCAAAAACTTGGCTGAGTTAAAAAGTAAATAATAAGATAGGACATTTGCTATCAGTCTTAAATTATATTTGGATAGGTAATACCTATCTTTTGTCCAAAACTTTTTTGTTAAATTATTTTTGTCAATTACATGAAATTTATAATTATTATTATTACAATTATATGTCAAATTTAAATTATTATTACATATGCATTTGTATATTTAAATTATGTCTTAAATTATTTTATTGTGGCAATCCCTGTATAATGCATAAGGCAGAACAAGACAATTTTGTGTACATTTAAGTTATTAAGTTGTTCAATATATCTTAATAACTGTTTGTTGTTGACACTGCCTCTTCTACCAACAAAAATTATTATTGTACTATTTGGGCAAAATTTAGTAACAATAATTTTATTTAGGATGTCACTAAAAGATGCTCCAGGCATGCAGCAATTTGTAACTTTTTGTCCCTTTAAAGAGTTATTTAAAGTTATGCCTAGATTTTTTCCCATGTCATCGCTATAAACAATTATATTATTTTTAGTAATATTTGAGTTATTTATTATTTTAATATCCTCTGCTATGGCACTGTCATCGAGTTTTGGTGATGGTATAATATTATCAGCACACACTGACTTTGAAGAATCTGGCATTGAGCGCTGACACTCACATTGATATTTAACTAAGGAGTCAAACCGCTCCTCATTATATTTACAAGTCTTTACCAGATTACCCATAACCAATATGTGTTCTTTTATTTCATTTTGGGCTGATTTATATTTATTGGACACAGTTTGAAGGGAGTTAATAAGTGATAATATTTCTGATTTAAGGCACTCTACTTCAGTCTCATAACATTTTTTTATGTTATCCACCTCAATTAAATACAACTTAAGTTCACATAACAATGCTTGCTTTTCTTTACATACATTAACATAATTTTTGGTATTAATCTTATTTCTTATTAATTTTTGTACTTTCCTTATGTATTTATTAACTTTTATATACTTCTTCAATTTGGTTTTACTGCAATTAATCCTTACTGTGTTTTCTGAAGTGGAAGAGTCGTCACCAGTCAAGTCTATTGTTGCAGATTGCTGTAACATTCTTGAAGTATCACATTGCACAAGCTCAGAGAACAGGCTTTGAGTCTGGGAGGCTTTAAGGTTATCTATATATGTTTTAAATTGTGTTATTTGCTCATTAGCCTCATTCAACTCTAACTTCAATGCAGCAATTAACCTGAGAGCTTCCTCATATTCCTTGCTGCATTGGTCAAACTCATTAACCGTTCCTTGTAGCTGGTCTCTTTCTTTTATAACACTTGTGTATTCTGTATGTAACTTAACCATATCACATTTCAATTTTGTATTTTTGGCAATTATGCTATTTCCCTTTCATTATCATCCCTTTCCTTAAGCAACAGTTCACACTGCTCCCTGGACGCCTTAAGTTCTTGGAGCGCAAGCTGGAGTTGGTTCTCCATCTGGCGCGTCTTGGCGTTGCGAGTATTCATTTTACTATTTATTATAAATAATAAAAGAAAACAAAGATCGAAAACAGAAGGAGCAGAGTAAGCTAATATAAAGTTGTTGTTTTTTTTTCTATTTACAAGTCTCAAATCAAATTATCGTTAAAACAATTCGAAAAGAAACCCGCAAAGAATGTAATAACCCGAGTAATAGAATAAATCTTTAATTTATAAAAGGAATGATATGAAATAAGGATTACAATAATATTTAAAACAATGTTCGTTACCTGTCACTTTTTGTTCCAACTGTTATAATATTTATGTACCAACTTTCTTAAATATTAAATACAAAGCGGCAGTAATTATTAGCTATAACATAAAATTGAGGTGGATATGGTGAATTTACAATATTTAAATTATTAAAATTTATCGGGACCAATTACTTTTACAACTTATTACCAGGGTTGCCACAGCAAAAAACAAATAAAGGGGTAAACAACCCATTTATTTACTAATAAATATCTATATGTGTTCGCGCAAAACGCTGTTGTCGGAATCGACGTCTAGGGGGCGCGCAGCTCTGGGCGATACCAGTTTGAAGTTCTTCCGAGCGTGGAGTGGCACGCAGGTCGCGAGCGAAAAGTCAGTCGTCTGTCAGGTGTGCTAACAATTGGCACGCTGCCAATTAAGCGCGGGAACTCGGAATAATTAAGCGCGGACAGTAAAAATACGGTCTAGGAATTTTGTGGCGCGTATCCCTACTGGAGAGCTTCCCCGGGACTTATTGGGTCCGACTAAGAATCTGTATAAGTGCATTCGACAATATTAGCTAGTGCGGCCTCTGTATTCTAGAACTAACTGTTGCAACGCGAAACGGTAGTGACCTTTGACCCAGAAAATCCGTGCGCGTTTTGGGCGGTAACCTTATAACCAGCGATAGTTAGTGGCTTCTGTAAGTTAGTTAATCGTACGATAGAGTTAATTGACTGTCAACGTGACGAAAGAAGAAAGTGACGGTGGACAACCTCGGAAGCCCCCTCAAGTTGGAGCGGTGTCGACGCTCGGGCTGCTGCCAACGGCCAAGGTCTAGGTTCAATCACCATCAGTCACACCCAGATACACATCACATCACTTATTTCCCTTTCACTACACAACCACATGTGACCTGACCGACTCCGGAGGGACCAGTCGCCTTGGATATCGGTAAGTAAACTCCGTCTAATTCCTCTGCCGGTCGACTGGCCGTAGTATAGAACGCTCCCCCATATATTTTAGTGTAATTCGAGAGATTCCACGTGGCCACATTGAGGCCCGACCTACGTTTGCTCGGGAAGTCTTCTGCTCATGGGCCCCAGAGGATTGGATCCTTTAAGGGAGCAGCCGTAGGCCGTAACAATATGTTTTATTAATATATCAAAATAAATAATAATTTAATATATTCTATTAAATTATCAAAAAAGAGAACTTAAAAAAAACTATGTGCTTACAAGTTTTAATATAAGTACCAGTTTTTTCTGTTTTTTTTTAAATTTTATTTATATAAATATATTATGTCGCAATTTATTTTATATATGTACAAGAATGTCACTTTAACGAGATAATTATAATATTGACAGCGTTATTTGAATTTCTAAAGCGTTAAACTTCGTCACAAAATTGTCTTTAAATCGCATCTTAATAACTTACAAAGCCGTTGAAATAACAATTTGGAGATTGACGTTGGAAAGCCCTGCGGAAAATTCAATCTAGGATTCTACTAATTCGGGATTATTGCTTGTACTGTTTCAATTTATAGTGGTTTGCGAATAAATATCAAAATAAACACAAGTCATATATTATATTTTTACCTACGAAACGTAGGGAATATAAACGGTGTAAAATCCGTAAACACTAGTTTTATTGAAATTTTTATTGTTCTCGGAAACATAACAAATTAATACAGGTTTGATCCATAACAAATCCTCATAAAAGAACTTTGATTTCTATCAAAGATAATTCGAGAGGCTATAGAAATAAAAAAAACGTATCCTAATTTTAATTGTGAAGGTGGTGGATGCTACCATCTGGTTGGAATCCTTAAAATATTAAATCCCAATCCAAGCACGCCACTACGAGATTTCAAGATACTAAAAGTTTTTTCTGCGTAGATCGGACCAACATTGGGATGTCACTTGCCCCGTGTCTTGTGCCGTAAAGTACGTTACGTGGTACTGTTAAGTACTCGAAACGTGGGAATAAAAAATAAGTTATAAACAAGATAAAGTCCATAAAATTTAGGTTCATTCAATAGCGTGTAAATGCTTTGGTTTATATGTAAGTATTTTGAATTTAAGAACAATATAATGCAGTTACATCAGCTTAGAAAACCAAGATAGAATTCTTCTTTAAAAGTAAACAGTCTCCATTTCTTGTCACTATTATCAGAAAACAGAGCAGCATCCGTGTCGTCGTTTCGAAATGCATCCAAGCATATTAAAGCGTGGTTCTACCACGATACTTCGTACTCACAAATTTAATGGGCATTTTTAAATCACTGGCCTGTTTATGATCACGGTTGATCAATGTTATTTTCAAGGGTGTGGCTATGCGTTGTGGCCAAACAATTTTTGAAAGATTCGCGCATAAATCCCACACTGGATAGCACGTCGGTGAGTACTTTTATAAGAAGTACAGCAAAGGAGTAGAATAATTTGCCAACGTATGGCGTTTCGTCCAATTACATTCCAGGTAATTAAAAAGTAAGTTTTTATTATACAAAATTTTGGTGCCAAAAGAGCAGGTATTTCGCTTATATATATAGATGTATGATATAGAGCCGGTCGAACGTCACGATCGAAACATGACATGCAATTTGTAACCAGCGCTTAACAGTCTCGAGACAGGAACATGAGTTAAGCTCGAACAGGCTGCCTGAGATTAGTACCGTTGTTTCCGATTTGACAACAATTTGTCGTGAGTCTAGGAAACCCTGTGGAAATCTATATTTGATATGTAAACTATAAGACCGCTTTATTGAAAATATCTACAGTATATAATTCAAAAGAATTTCTTAAAAGTCATGTATTAATTTTTTTTATTTCAACTATATCATGGTAATGTTTCTCCAGAGCTTACATGTACCTACTCATTTAATTTCATTCTTTCATATTCCCCATAGATAATCTTACAATGGAAATATTTCTCATAGTGTGCACGCTTGGAAGGCGGGTGGGAAACATATTTTTTTATTTTCAATTGTAAGGTATTAGGAAGATGCTGCTGTCCATTTTCTGGTTTGTTTCCCTATATCGCCTCCTATGACACCGACGGGATGATATGGAGTAGTGGATATTCTTATACTTCTACTATACAACCATTTAATAAAACAAGTTAATATAGTTATAAATGGCGTTAAAATAATTAATAATAATATTTAATAGGTCTTCAAGTGAACATACTGTTCTCTAAGTTCATCATCATCATCATTACAGCCCTTCACAAGGCCACTGCTGAACATAGGCCTCCCCCAAGGAATGCCAAAAAGCACAGTCCTGAGCCACATGCATCCATCGACTTCCTGCATAACTTACCAGGTCGCCACACCAACTTGAGGGGGGACGCTCTCCACTTCATCCGCCGGTACGAGGCCGCCACTCGAGAACCTTTTTTCCCCATCGGTTGTCGGTTCTTCGAGCTATATGACCAGCCCATTGCCACTTCAGCTTACTAATCCGTTGGGCTATGTCGGTCACTCTGGTTCTACTGCAGACATCCTCATTTCTAAGTTTATCACACAGAGAAACTCCGAGCATAGCCCTCTTCATTGCTCGCTGAGCGACCTTGAGCTTCCTCATACGGCCAGCAGTGAAGGACCACGTCTCAGTTCCATAGGTCATCACTGACAACACGCACTGTTTGTACAGTCTTGTTTTCAAGTTTTGAGGTATACCTGACGAGAAAATGTGCCGTTATTTCCCGAACGCTGCCCAACCGAGTTTAATCCGTCGATTGACCTCACGGTCGAAGTTGGACTTACCTAGTCGGACTATATGTCCCAGGTAAACATACTTGTCAACAACCTCGAGCTTAGTGCTCCCAACAACTCAACCGGCATAGGTGTGACCTATCCATTGGGAAACACTATTAAGGTCATTGAATATGGTGCTTAGGCCCTCCAGCAATTCTGCCATAAGGACTATATCGTGGGCAAATCGAAGGTGAGTGATGTACTCACCATTGATGTTAATATCGTATCCTTTCCAGTCCAGAAGCTTAAAAACGTCTTCCAATACAGCGGTGAAGAGTTTCGGGAATAAAACGTCACCCTGTCTTACACCTCTCTGCAATTGGATAGGTTTTATACTCTGGTTCTGTACTCTGATAGCCTTCGTAGCCCTACTGTATAAACACTTCACCACTTCGATATACCAAAAGTCAACTTAGCATCGCTTAAGGGACCGCAAAAATTTCGACGGAATCAAAGGCTTTCTCATATTTTACATACGTCAGACGTACGAAGGGTATGTATGTGGTCTATGGTGCTAAATCCTTTTCCGAAAACGGCTTGTTTGGGAGGCTAGAAGTTTTTAAATCTGCGCGCGAGACGATTAGTAATGACTCTCGAAAACAGCACATGTCTGTAGTTCTTCAAGAGAGCGTTGTCACCTTTCTTGAAGAACAAGACCACCTCACTTCTGCTCCACGCCTCCGGTGTAATGCCACCATGGAGGACGGAATTAAAAAGCTTCTGAAGGACTTCAAGTACCAGTTTTCCACCAG